AATAGAAGATTTCAGCAAAGTATCAGGATACAAGATAAAAACATACAAAAATCAGTTGGATTCCTCTACACCAACAAAGAGAACTTCTGAGAGGAAATCATCAAATCAATACCATTTACAATAGCCCCCAAGAAGATAAAACACTTAGCAACAAATCTAACCAGAGGCATAAAAGACCTATACAAAGAAAACTACAAGACACTACTACAAGAAACCAAGAGACCTGTATAAGTGGAAAAACATACCTTGCTCATAGATAGAAAGACTCAACGTTGTGAAAACGTCAATTCCACTCAAAGCAATCTACAGATACAATGCAATCTTGATCCAAATTCCAACAGCATTTTTTAATGAGATGGAGAAACAAATCACCAACTTCAGATGGAAAGGGAAGAGGCCCCGGATAGGTAAAGTATTGCTGAAGAACAACAACAAAGTGGGAAGCCTCACACTCCCTGATTTTAGAACCTATTATACTGCCACAGTAGCTGAAACAACCTGGTACTGGTACAACAGATACATAGACCAGTGGAACAGAATTGAGAATCCAGACATAAATTCATCCATCTATGAGCAGCTGATATTTGACAAAGGCCCCAAGTCCATCAATTGGGGAAAAGACAGTCTCTTTAACAAATGGTGCTAGCATAACTAGATATCCATCTGCAAAAGACTGAAACAAGACCTATACTTCACACCATGCACAAAAACTAACTCGAAATAGATTAAGGACCTAAATGTAAACTCTAAAATGCTAAAGATTATGAAAGAAAAAATAGGGACAACACCAGGAGCCCTGATACATGGCATAAACAGAATACAAACCATAAGTAACAATGCACAAACACCAGAAGAGAAACTAGATAACTGGAAGCTCCTAAAAATCAAACCCTTATGCTCATCAAAAGACTTCACCAAATGAGTAAAAAGACAACCTACAGACTAGAAAAAAGTTTTGGCTACGACAAATTCGATCAGCGTCTAATCTCTAAAATCTACAAGATAACTGCAAAACCTCAACAACAAAAAGACATTTCACCAAAGAAGTCATTTAGGCAGCTAACAGACACATGAGGAAATGCTCACGATCATTAGGCATTAGAAAAATGCAAATCAAAACTACAATGAGATACCATCTCACCCCAACAAGGCTAGCATTAATCAAAAAAACACAAAATAATAAATGTTGGAGAGGTTGTAGAGAGACTGGAACACTTACACGCTGTTGGTGGGAATGTAAAATGTTACAACCACTTTGGAAATCAATTTGGCACTTCCTTAAAAAGCTAGAAATGGAAGTACCATACGATCCAGCAATCCCACTCCTTGGAATATATTCTAGAGAAATAAGAGCCGTCACACAAATAGATAAATGCATACCCAAGTTCACTGCAGCACTGTTCACAATAGCAAAAAGATGGAAACAACCTAAGTGCCCATCAACGGACGAATGGATAAACAAATTATGGTACATTCACACAACGGAATACTACACAATGATAAAGAACAACGAACAATCCGTGAAATACCTCATAACATGGATGCATCTGGAAGGCATTATGCTGAGTGCAATTAGTCAGTCATGAAAGGGCAAATATTGTATGAGACCACTATTAAAAGAACTCAAAAGGTTTAAACACAGAAAAAAACATTCTTTGATGGTTAAGAGAGTGGAGAGGGAGGGAGAGGGGTATTCACTAACTAGATAGTAGACAAGAATTATCTTAGGTGAAGGGAAGGACAACACATAATACAAGAGAAGCCAACACAACTGCACTAAACAAAAAGCTAAGAAGTTTCCCGAATACAACTAAGCACTTCGAGGGACAGAGTAGCAGGGGTGGAGGTTTGGGGAGCATGGTTTCAGGGGACATCTAGGTCAAATGGCTTAACAAAGTTTATTAAGAAAATGTTCTGCATCCCACTTTGGTGAGTGGCATCTGGGGTCTTAAAAGCTAGTGAACAGCCATCTAAAATATATCAATTGGTCCCAACCCACTTGGAGCAAAGGAGAATGAAGATCACCAGAGACACAAGAAAATATTAGCCCAAGAGACAAAAGGGCCACATAAACCAGAAACTCCACCAACCTGAGACCAGAAGAACTAGACCATGTCCAGCTACCACCGTTGACCACCTTGACAGGGAACGCAGCAGAGAGTCCCTGACGGAGCAGGAGAAAAGTGTGGAGCAGAACTCAAATTCACGTAAAAAGACCAGACTTAATGGTCTGACTGAGACTGGAGGAACCCTCAAAGCCATGGCCCCTAGACGCTCTACTAATCCAGAACTAAAACCATTCCCAGAGACCACTCTTCAGACAAAGATTAGACTGGAATATAAAACATAAAGAAATACTTGTGAAGAATGTACTTCTTAGCTCAAGCAGATACACGAGATCAAATAGGCAGCTCCTCTCCGGAGGCAGGATGAGAAGGCAGAAAGGGACAGGACCTGGTTGGATGGATACAGGAAACCCGAAGTGGAAAGGGGGAGTGTGCTGTCACATTACAGGGATTGCAACTAGTGTCACATAACAGTATGTGTATAAATTTTTGTATGAGAAATTAACTTGAGCTATAAACTTTCACTTAAAGCACAATTAGAAAAAAAAGAGGTATTCAACTTATGTCAGAACTGACTTTCGATAGAGTCGTTGGAATGAAGCCCTGTCTTAAGTTGGGGACTACCTGTATTTTCTAAAACCAATATATGCCCTGATTAACAATCTGCAATATATAGATGACACAACCTTGCTTGCTGAAAGTGAAGAGGACTTGAAGCGCTTAGATGAAGATCAAAGACCACAGTCTTCAGTATGGGTTACACGTCAACATAAAGAAAACAAAAATCCTCACAACTGGACCAATAAGCAACATCACGATAAACGGAGAAATTATTGAAGTTGTCAAGGATTTCATTTTACTTGGATCCACAATCAACACCCATGGAAGCAGCAGTCAAGAAATCAAATGACGCGTTGCATTAGGCAAATCAGCTGGAAAAGATCTCTTTAAAGTGTTAAAAAGCAAAGATGTCACTTTAAGGACTAAGGTACGCCTGACTCCAGCCATGGTGTTTTCAATTGCCTCATATGCATGTGAAAGCTGGACAATGAATAAAGAAGGCTAAAGATGAATCGATGCCTTTGAATTATGGTGTTGGAGAATAATATTGAAAATTCCATGGACTGCCAGAAGAATGAACAAATCTGTTTTGGTAAAAGTACAGCCAGAATGCTCCTTAGAAGGATGGTGAGACTTCATCTCACACACTTTGGACATGTTATCAGGAGGGACTAGTACATGGAGAAGAACATCATGCTTGGCAGAGTAGAAGGTCAGTGAAAAACAGGAAGACCCCTCAACAAGATGGATTGACACAGTGGCTGCAACAATGGGCTCAAGCATAGCAACAATTGTGAGGATGGTGCAGGACTGGTCAGTGTGTTTTTCTGGTGTACACAGGGTCACTGTGAGTTGGAACCGACTTGACTCACCTAACAATACTTGCTCTACTTAACTCTACTCACAATAACTCTTGCAAATTTTGCAATCTGAGACAGGTTAATGATAATAATGGAGTCCTTGATTGGTATAAACTGTTAAATGCTGGGCTGCTAACCAAAAGCTTGGGGATTTGAGCCCGCCCAGAGGAGCCTCAGGGAAAAAACCAAAACCCATTGCCATGAAATCTATTCCAACTCATAGTGACCCCACAGGACAGAGTAAAACTGCCCCATAGCGTTTCAAAGGAGTGCCTGGTTGATCTGAACTGCTGACCTTTTGGTTAGCAGCCGAACCAAGGCCTGACAATCTACTTCTGAAAAATTAGCCTTTGAAAACCCTACAGAGCATAGTTGTACACTGACATACATGGGTTCGTCATAAGTCGGAGTCAACTTGACAGTAACTGGTACTGGTAATGGTAACAATTTACCCCACTGCCGTTGAGTCGATTCCGACTCATAACGACCTATAGGACAGAGTAGAACTGCCCCACAGTTTCAAAGGAGTGCCTGGTTAATCTGAACTGCTGACCTTTTGGTTAGCAGCTGTAGCACTTAACCACTATGCCACCAGGGTTTCCAAATGATAATAAAGTGGCTAACAATTACTGAATATACTACTATGTGAGAAGGAACTGTTCTTGAAGCCTTTATGTTAACTCACTGAATCCTCACAACAACCTTTAAGTTAGGTACTATTAGCCCTTTTTACAGATGAGTAAAATGAGTCACAGACAACTTATTTAAGATTAGACAGCTAGTAAGTGGCAGAGTCTAACTCGATTCTCTATCTGCTAACTACAAGGCTACTTATACCGAGAGACACAAATTCATAGCAAACCCAAAAAATATGCACCTTATTTGTTCCTAATGAGACTCCTTATCTGTGCATCAGCTTCAACCAGATCAACTGATTCTCTGTAATTCTTAAGGTAACACTTCAGACTAATCCCCTAATATCAGTCTGAAAAAGCCCCATAAATATTTGCTTCATACATAATTTTATTAGAATGTATGATCATGAGTCAATGAGATGACTGAGATTTTACACATTTTTAGATTCACTGTGTGGACTTTTTATCTCACAAAAATTAAATGTCCCATTTATTCTTACTCATCATGGGATTTAGGTAGCTGTGAACCCTAAAGCATTGCTTTTATAAACTATATTCCTTCAAAATGGAAAGAAAGCTCAAATGTACATTAAATAGTCTCTATTCAAACTTGTGTGTAAAATCAGCTGCTAAACAGGAAAATTTATTATCATTCCACCAAATAAGTTGTCCATAATTAACAGCAAGCCCCCCAGATATCTGTAAACTCTTTAACATGCCTCCTATGTCTTCAGACTAACTTCCTTTATTCTGTATATGGCTTAAAACTAATCCAGTATGAAGTGGGGTGGACCTTTTATAAGCAGCAAGTCAATATACCACGTGTAGGAAAAACAGTATAATCAAGTCCAGCCTCAACATTTGCAACTTTTACTCACTTTAAAACAGCTGTGATATCCAAACAGGGCTCGTGACATGATGAGGACGATCCCCCACTATATGTCATTTCTGCAGAGGGAGATTTTTAAATAGAGAGTTATATTGTTCTTTACACTATAACCTTAAATTTCAAAAATTCCCATTGACCTTCCCCATAAAGGGCTTCTAGAATTGTAAATTCATATTTTGCCCTTACACTAAAAAGGAGGAAATAAAACATTAATAGTCCTTGAATGTATTTCAAGTTTGCAATTTGAATAACTATGCTTTAACAGTAAAAGCTGATTAAAAATAAATCCAAATTTTGGACATGCAAAAAAGTAAATTAAAAGATCAGAGAAAATTGCTGTAAGTGAGCCGAATCAAACTGTCCTTTTCATTAGATTCAATATCATGTAAAGTGTGTCCACTAGGAACACAGTGATTCAGATTGGAGAATGAAATAAAGGAATTAGAGAAGCAGAGAACAAGTCTGGTGAAAGTCCCTAAAACTTACATTAATACACAGAAAGTCTGTTTCCTAGCTAACAGCATCTTGCTGAGCTTTGCTTAGATCTGGAGAGCCACGACCCTCATCTCTAGCCATCCTAGCCTCACAGTGATGGCAGGGGGATCTGGGCATCACTTGATGTTTATGCTGCTACCTGCAAGGTAGAATAGTGAAAAGTTCCAGAACACATATCCCAAATGATTTCAGTCAATACACCAATGATTCACTTATCTGAAAATTGCTTTTAGTCAATTTTTCACTGAATTACAGCAGTATTTGCCCTTACCCATTCCACATTAAGCAATGTTTAAATGGTTCCCTGGTACCATCTCACTCATTACCTCTGGCCACTTGTGTTGGATCACTTTTATATGGCCTTTCTCACCATGGTCTTTTAACTCTCACCAAATGATTGGGTGGGGTTATGCAAATAAGGTGTTTGTGGCCCACCAAGGAGGATGGGACAGCTTGCTAATAATGCAAATAAGATGCATGGCACCCTGTGGGGGTGGGACCATGCAAATAAGGTATACAGAACCCTACTGAAGGGACTGGTCAGTTTTACCGTCTTGCTAAGTTTAAAATGAGCCATCCCAGAGGCAGAAAGGGGGACCACACTACCACCAAGAAAGAAGAGCTAGGAGTGGAGTGCATCCTTTGGATTGGGGATTCCTGTGCTGGGAACCTCCTGGACCCAGGAATCAGACAGAGAGAGCTGTAATGCTGGGGACAGCAAGAGATGGCGGAGAAGCAGTGGCAGAGAAACAGTGGCAGCAGAACTAGGAGATGGTGCAGTGGACTTCCCAGCCCACAGAGCGAGAAAGCTGAGCACCTTCAGGCAGGAGGCTTCCTGGCAGAGTAGGGTGCCTCCAGGTACTACTGGCAGAGCTAAAGAGCTTTGTAACACTTGCCTGAGCAAGGCAAAGGCCAGGCCGACGGCCAGAGAGAGGCCTGCCTGCGGGCACGGCTGAGAAGAAGCTGTCCTGACGGAAGAACTGTATCCGGAGTCGTTTCTGATCCTGAATTATAACCTGTTAACTTCCCTAATAAACCCCATAATCGTGAGTATTGTCTGTGAGTCCTGTGTGGTCACTGCAATGAATTATCGAACCCAGCAGAGAAGTAGAGAGTTCTGTGGGAGGGACGGTGTCAGAATTGGTAAAAAGGTTGGAGAGAGGAGGTGTGTCTGACCACTGTCTCATAGGAATCAGCCTTGGGCTGCTGATGCTGATAACGATTCTCCTCCCTCCTTGTGATGTTAGAGGAGGTCAGATGGTTGGGAAGGTCCTCAGCTGGTGAGAGAACTACTGATCTCCTGAATTCCCCAGGTGTCTACTAAGCTTCTCAGTATCTCCGTGTCCAAGAGAAAGAGGCTAAAAAATGGCTAATAGTCGAAGTACTCACTACTCTCATCCTCACCTCAACTGAAGTGTTTCGGAAAGTGAGGCCAGAATTCCCTGGGGAGCTTCTTTAAAAAACAATTTCTTAGACTCCACCCCAGACCTATAGAATCAGAATCTCTGAGCAGCATTTTAATAAGCACTAGTAAAGCATAACAATAGCCCGTAAAGTCCATAAAGCAACCACCCCAACCTCACGTTGCCCTTCCTACTACATAGGAGATAGTAAAAAGAAAGACAATTTTTCCTTTTCTTGATATAACATATATAGTTACTATTTACTCAAAGGAGTTGTTTTAACTCAGCTTACATTAGCATTATCTCCTACCCCCAAGAGAGAAAAAACTGTTTCAGTGTTTCTATTACTTTTACTCTCCATTCAAAGGAATGACCTCTCAAATTATTTATAGAATATTATTTCATTAAAACCTTAATATTTTTGTTTTTTGCCCTATTGCTACAACTGTAAAAATCAAGTCATCCATCAGGAAATTACAGAAAAAGAATTAAACCTCTGGTTGTATAATAGGGTCCTAAAACTGCACGTTTATTGTCAGCAAACAAGTGCCACAGACTACCCAGTGCACTAATGTTAAAAATTAGGAAAATTAGTTCTAACAAAGCACAACTCTACTTTTCTTCTAATGTTACCTACATGTGAATCACTCAAAACTATAAATCAAGTGACTTAAAAAGAGCATGGTGGGGTAAAAGAAAAAAAACCACCAAGAAAAAGAACAGGATTTACTACATAGATGTTCTGTTTTATAAATAAAACAAACAGGGTACCAAAAAGGCCATCTTTTTCTAACTAAGCTACAGTAAGTTCCAATGCTCTTGCCAAAGTCTGCAAATCTGTTCTTTCACTGCAAGGCAGATATGAATTTTGAAAAACACCCTATCAATAGAAATTACTGACTTATGTAGGGAGGGGGTCATGAACCTCTTTACATTTTGAAAAGAACTATGCATAGTCTCCCAGAAAAAGACCTGAACTCTGTACAATTTCAGGGAGCACATCCTCAAATCACAAAGAATCAGTCTGTACATTAATCCTGGTTCTTCTCTTTATATGGCGAATCTGTTTACACTGAATGGAGTATAGGATGCAGTTTTTAACCTCACTTTTTTAAAATTTTACTGCCAACTGGCAAAGCAAAAGAAATTCAAGCACAATGAAATTATTAAACTGATTACTGCACCCCACACTAAGAACATTTACCTTTTCAGCTATGCTATATAGAACTTCATCCATTTTCATACAAGTAGGATCCCAATCATGTCCAAACCTAATGACGACAACTCGGTCCTCCTCAGAAAGGATGGCTTGGTCCACCTGCCAGCCGTTGTGTAAATGTGGAAGCATATACGACATCTTGAAAACGTGGCTGATATCTGAAACAGAAAACCGTACACATCAGTCTTCACCGTCACCTGATGACAGGACAAATCATTTTGATTCCATCAGGTAGCTGCAACCACCTTCTTGATGAAGTGGCTGACACAGAATTCGGCCCTCACCTCTGGTAGCTCCACCGTACGCAGGGGCCCGGCCGCCACAATGGACCTCGCCCATCCGGGCGCCAGGACCGCGACCTCCGCCGCCCTGTGCCCGAACCGCCCCGCTGATGGGGACCCCGGGGCGAGGAGGACCCTCCATCTCGAACACGCCCCCTCCTCCCGGCCTCCCGCCCATGTCCCACACGGCCTACAGTCCGTCCCCCACGTCCTCCACCCCCAACCTGTCCCCGATCCCCTGGCCTCCACACGGTCTCCCGGGCCACCCACCCCCTTCACCCTCCCGGGACCGCACGCACCTCCCGGCAACTCTACAGCCTTCCGCACAGGACCCAGCGTTCAGCACCAAGCCCTGCTGCTCTCCTAGCACCTCTTGACCAGGTCGCGCATCGACGTAATGCGTGCGTGCGTGCATACGTGCGTGCGCGCGTCCGCAGCTGCACGCCCCGACTTTCGTGAGAGTAACGTCTCGCCCTCAGCGGCCAAACCCCACAGAGATTTTTTTTAGAGCTTGGTATGTTGAAAAAGCACCGAGGTAGTCGTTATGAGAAAAAGCAGGGCTTTATTGGACTTCGTTGTCATTTCCAATACATTGGCGCAAGTAATACCAGAGAAGACTGAAACTTACCAGCTGTTTTTGAACAAAAATCTTGGTGGATAGGATTGAATTATGAATACAGCATAGCTGATGGAGGACTGGTTCCATTTTTACTCTTCTTATCAATGTGAGGAAACTCTTAAAGCTGTGACGCCCCTGAAAGCCAAGGATCACAGTGGACCCACCATAGAACCAGACCTTCCAAAAGCTGTATCACAGCGTTAAACCAGAATTTTTCAAAATAATGATGCATTATAATCAATTCCATTGTTCTTTACAAAAAAAGTATTTTTAGTGAGAGCTGAAATATTTTGAGTCATAAATACATAAATTTACTTAAAATACTATTTTCATCTTTTTTCTTCCTCTTTAATATTTATTTTGTGTATATTTTCTGTGCACATGTATTAGTAAAGTAGTTCATGTATATGTAAATTTAAAAATAATTATACATACATTGGAGTGCTTGCTGAAAATTTGTCTGCTGATGTATTGTAATGTCACGAAGTGAGGAGACCGCTGGCCAGAAGAATGAAATGGGAAAAATATGACATTATAAAATGCTTTGATATTATTCGTTGACAATTTAAATATTAGAATCACACTCGGTAGAGATAATCCATACAGTATAATTCAACGGTTTTTTTAGTGTGTTCAGAGTTGCACAAACATCACCAGTCAATTTTTGAACATTTTCACCACCCCAAAAATAAATTTGCTATCCATTAACAGTCTCTCTCCATTTCTCCCTAACCCACCAAGCCCTAGGCTACCACAAATTTTTGTCTTTATAGATTTGCCCGTTCTGGATATTTCATGTACATGGAATCATTCAATATATGTGGTCTTTTGTGACTGAGTTCTTTCACTTACAGTAATGTTTTCAAGCTTCATCCATGACATAGCATGTATCAGTATTTCATTCCTTTTTATGGTCATGTAATATTCCATTTTATGGATATACCACATTTTATTTATCCATTCACCAGCTGATGAACACTTAGGTTGTTTCTACTTTTTGGCTACAATGAATACTTCTACTATGAACATCTGTGTACAAGTTTTTGTATGCACGCATACTTTCAATTTTCTTTGGTAGATATACCTAGGAGTGAAATTGCTGGGTCATATGGTAACTCTAGGAGCCCTGGTGGCACAGTGGTTAAGAGCTCTGCTGCTAATCGAAAGGTCAGCAGTTTGAATCCACTAGCTGCTCTTTGGAAAACCTATGGAGCAGTTCTACTCTGTCCTATAAGGTCTCTATGGGTCTGAATCAACTTGACGGCAATGGGTTTGGTTTGGTTTATGGTAACTCTATATGTTTTACTTTCTGAGGAACTAACGAACTGTCTTCCACACTGGCTGTACCATTTTACAATTCTGCCAGCAATATATATTGAAATCGACTTGATGGCAGTGGGTATGGGATGTTTAAAAAAAAAAAAACAGAACACTAAACCCGTTGCCGTCGAGTTGATTCCAACTCATAGCAGCCCTATAGGACAGGGTAGAACTACCCCATACGGTTTCCAAGCAGCACCTGGTGGATTCAAACTGCCAACCTCCTGGAGAGCAGTTAGTAGCTCTTAACCACTACACCACCAGGGTTTCCATGGGATATAAGGTTTCTAATTTCTCTGTATTCTCACCAACACTTGTTATTGTCTATCTTTTTAAAATCTAACCATCCAAACCCATTGCCCTGGAGCTGATTCCAACTCATAGCAACTGTATAGGACACAGTAGCACTGCCTTGGAGACACCTTGTATACATAAGAATCAGCTGTATACATAAGAATGTATGCATAAAAATCACGTGGGGATCTTGTTAAACTGTAGATTCTGATTCAGCATATCTGGGGTGGAAATGTAAATTCTCAGCAGTCTGATCGGACTGGTTCCAAGCCTCGCTTTCCTCTTTCCCACCCTTCTTGTCCCTATTTCTTTCTGTTCCAAAACCTAAAAAATATTTTTTTTGGTTGCATTTGGTTCTTATATTTATTGCTTTTAATTTTTTAAATTAAAATATATTCTTTATTTCCCCCCTCCCCCTCACCTGTCCCCTTGCTCCTCTCCTTTGAATTAAATTAGTTCTCTCTGTCCTTATGTTTCAGATGCTCCATCTCCCTTAATCACTTTAATCACTTAAACAGATTTAATCAGTTAAACAGGTGGTTTAAATGATTCCTAATAGGAAGACGCTTCTCTGGCTTCCAGAGTCTTGCACTATAGTCTCAGTGAAGCACCTTGTAGTTTAAGAGTAATTCGATCAGGCTCCTCCCCTCTGGGGCCTCGCCCCTCCCCTAGGCACCGTAACTAGAAAATCCCTGCCCAGAATATTGGGTAAGAGTCAGTCTTACTTTCCATTTGAAAGAAGCAGTTGGAAGTTTATTCTGCTTTATTTTTCTTTCTGGATCTCAATTTTACAACAAAAAAACCCCCAAATTTACAGCCCGAAGTCTGTTAACGGCAATTTCAGCAAAGGTAATATTCTCTCTCTTTTTTTTTTCCTTACTTTAAGCAATAATTTTGTAAGGAGGAGAAAATAACTCATTTTGAATCGACATCAGCTCAAGTTGAACAGCATGAGGAGAATGCACATAGCAACGAGAAGATGTGAATGTCTGAACTATTATTCTGTTAGCCGAAAACAGCTATAAAATCTTGATTTTTCCAAATTTTACACATGGTTTATCCTGAATTGTATGAAATTCAGATGCTTAATAATACACCCACTTGGTACCGTGTTCCTTCTTTGCCTGCATGTTATGTACCTGTCGATTCACGTTCCTATTGTCTGGCACATGATACCTACAGAGACCATGTTTATACCTGTTTAGCTCGGTTTATGCAGGAGTTAGAGGAAGAGAAGAAAGTGCAATGCTAATGTGCCAGTTCCATGCCAGGCACGACTCTGTGGCAGTGGGTTTTTTGTTATTACTACTCCAGTGTTACTGAGGAGACAACCCAGAAAGATTATGTAACTCGTCTAGAGTCAGACTGTTCAGAAGCGGCAGATACAGTAATGCCAAAATCCGCATGCCCCCCTCTGATTACAGGATCTCACGGTACACAGTGTTGAGTAATTATTCTCAACGACGATGATGTTTATAGTGGAACTGACTTTCTGTCTCATGCTCGTGGCCTGTGACTGGAGGTGGATCACAGCGCGGGTTCTTGTTGAAAGGAATTAGAAAGCAAGAGAAAGAGACTGAGAAAGGAGTAACCTCCTTGAATCTACCTGTGCTCTTGATTGCTGATACTCCCCTTTCCCTTAACTCGGAATCTTACTCCCTTTTAGCTTTGGAGCAGCCATGAATCATGGCAGAATCTTGGCTCCTCTCCGTATACAACACTAACAATAATATTGTATTATGATGATGATGATTGCTTTTAACCAACATTAGTGGTTAAAAGAGGTCAGAATCAAGCCTCCTCTCTGTGAAAATAAACATTTGCACCTCAAATAACACAATCTTTTACTTAATCTCCAAACAGTAAATACAAGTTGTTGTTTTTTTTTACGCAATTATGCTCTGACCTTTGAACAATTAAAAAAAATTTTTTTAGCTCTGCTATTCCCAAAAATAACATGCATTCACTAGCCTCAACACCCGGAAAGCAACAGGTTTTCCTTTTAGAGGAAAGATACACAATGTTAAAAATATCTCATTTTTTATTAGGAGCAAGGAACATAAAGCTTTCTTTAATTCATTTGACAAACAACAACAAATATTTTTTAGTTCCACAGTATGGTCAGCAAATAGCGTATGCACTGTCTATTTCTGCCAAGGTAACAAATTACCTTAATACTTAGTGGCTGGAAATAACAGACCTTTATTATCTCAGTCTCTGTGGGCCAGGAATCTGGAAGTGGCTTAGCTGCTTTCCTCAGCCTCTGGGTCTCTCAAAACGCTGCAGTCAGGGCTTCAGCAAGGGCCGTAGTCGCCTCAAGGCTCCAGTGGGGGCGGATCTACTTCCTGTCTCATGCATGGGCTTTTGCACAGAGCTGCCTCATGGCATGGCAGCTGGCTGCCCCCAGAGCAGGTGATCCGAGAGGGAGCACCCACGACAGAAGCCAATCTTTTAATGACTGAATCTCAGAAAGATTTCCCAGTTCTTCCGCAATATTCTATTCGTTAGAAGCAAGTCAAACAATTCATCTCACACTCCAGGGGAGGAGATTTCACAAAGGCATGAATACCAGAGTCAGAGTCACTGGGGCCATCCACAGGCAGTGAAAGGGTAGAAATAAAGACAGAGGTAAGTGAGCAAGATGGAAAAAGACTTGGTACAGTCAGATTTCTGGGTCTATTGCCTTTCAGGTTTTACAGGAATTTATCCAGGAAATAAAATTAATTGCATTCTTATAATTTAGGAAATCTGAGGAGTAGCAGAAGAGCAGGTGGGCTGTTCTCTTAAAGACTTTTCTTTGCAGAAATCATGTTCTCTCTTTTTGCAGGTCATGGGAGATCAAGAACTACCTGGGGTTTTGGTATCTGGATTTGAAGGGCCCCATAGTATATGTGAGGACCATATCAGAAAACTGCAGAAACACTTTAATCTCATTACCATGCAGGAATTTTTGGAAAATAAAACACAATTCAGTCAAAACATCCAAGCTGTCTACGTATGGGGAGGCTGGCCAGTTATTGACAAAGAGCTCCTACAGAGCCTGCCCTGCTTGAAGATCATAGCCAGTGTAGGAGTAGGTTTAGACCACCTAGACCTGAAGCTCATTGCTGGCTTTGGTGTGAAGGTGGCCAACACACCGCAGGCAGTCTCAAAACCCACAGCAGACATGGGAATGGCCTTATTGCTGGCTTCTGCCCGGAAACTGGTGAAAGGTAAGATGCCCATTTAAACTGTTGGTTTTCCAAAGAATTTTACTGATGTATATTTACTACATACAAATTAAGATAATTTAAAAATATGTAAGTAGGTATCTTCAAAATACACATTTTTCTAGTTGTCCTGATTTCTCCGTACCATGTCTATGACTTTGTTTTACTTGGGAGTTTAAGCCTCTCTTGGTAGTTTGCAGCCTGCACTGGCGCCCGAGACTGACAACCCCAAGCAAATACATTCCAGCAGTCCCTGTTTGCTAGCAGTTATTTCCCACCCCACTCCCAAATTTCACTCACTTACATACCAGATAGAAAAATGTATATGTGTATGTGTGTGTGAAGGAATTTCAGAACCAGTATGGAAATACCCTTGGAGGTCATTCATCAGCAGGTCAGGCTTGCTACCCTGGGGTCATGACCTGCAAATGCGTAGGTTGAATCCCACCTATTCATACATTGAGACATCTCTGGGAGTGGCCCTGAGAAAGATAACATAGCAATTCAAAACTTCTTCCGTCCTTCCCAAATGGAGACTTGATGTAAAAGGGTTTGAGAGATGAAGCAGGAACCAGGTCTTTTCTATTTCTGCCTACTGGTTAACACACACACACACAAAACAACAACAACTCATTTCAACCAGAAAGCCTTCCTTAACATGAAAGAAGTTGCTATTTTAAAACATTCATCCATGAATCTCTGATCTCATTGTAAGGAAACTACCATTTATTCCCATTATTCATGTCTTGCAGAAACATGTGTTTACTGTCATGTAGAAATGCGTGAGGGCCTGTAGTTCAAGCGGGCATTCTCTCACTGATCCAAGTGAAGATTGTGGGAGGTGTTGACACCATTTCCATTGCTCAGTCTGTACCTTATACATTCCAGGTCATCAGCTGGCTATTTCACCAGATACAAAGAACTTTAATATAAATTGGGTGGGTCAAGATGTCACAGGTGCCACCCTGGGAATCATTGGCATGGGCGCAATTGGATATAAGATCGCTCAGAGGGCCAAAGCCTTCGAAATGAAGATTCTATATCATAATAGGACCCGCAGGTAAAATTCAGAAAATGGACTTTTGTATTAACTAAGCAGAACTTGTACCATTACTACCTTAAATATTGCTTGGATATATTGTTCTTCCATTTTTCATAAACCTCTCCTCATCTTTCCAAGAAGTAGGACTGGTGATTGTCTTAGTTATCTAGTGTTGCCATAACAGAAATACAACAAGTGGCTGAGTTTAACAAACAATTCTCTCACAGTTTAGGAGGCTAGAAGTCTGAATTTAGGGCGCCAGCTCTAGGGGAAGGCTTTCTCTCTTTCTCGGTTCTGAGGGAAGTTCATGTCATCAATCGTCCTCTGGTCTGGGAGCTTCTCAGCATGAGAGCTCTGGGTCCAAAGGACACGCTCTGCTCCTGGTGCTTCTTTCTTGGTGGCATGAGGTCCCTTTCCTCTCTGCTCGATTCTCTTATATCTCAAAAGAGATTGACTCAAGATACAAAGTAATTCTGTAGATTGAGTCCTGCCTCATTAACATAACTGCCTCTAATCCTGCCTCATTAACATCACATCATAGAGCTTAGAATTTACCACACACAGGATAATCACATCAGATCACAAAATCTTGGACAACCACCCAATATTGGGAATCATGGCCTAGCCAAGTTGGCACACATTTTGGGAGGACACAATTCAATCCATAACAGTGATCAAGAAAGGGACTGTGATATTTTGATGATTAGCTAGAAAAGTGGCTATAACTCCTTTTATTGAAAAAAATTTCACCAGGAAGGAAAGAGAATTTTAACTCACCTATACAGTGTGCTTTATTTCTAATATGATTTTTTGACTATAGGAGATACTGTCCTCCACCCCCACTGAACAATTTGATTGGTTCCTTTAATACTGAGGTATATATACTCATGCCTTTTTTTCAAAGCTTTTGAAACTTATACAATTTCCCAAACCAGGCAGCAAGAACTGCCCATCTGGGAGCCCACCGAAGTGTCCTTATTTGTGCCCTATTTGCTCAAGCTAAGTGACAGCAAAAGCATCCTCACTCAATGTGAGTTGCAGTTTTAGGGGAGATTCTCTCACTACCAAAAGATAAGTACATTGTTTTGTGATAGCTCTGAAATTTATATCTCCAGCTGGCCTTCCACTTGTACCCCAGACCTTTTCTCTGGGCTTTCCACACAGGTATCCAGTTGCTGTTTTGAAACTTCAATGTCTTACAGACACCTTAAATTTCCGTGTTCAAAACTGAACTCTTGACCTCCATCCTTGTGTTAGTGCTTCTCAATTAAGTCTTCATCTTCTTGGTAAGTGGCACTACCACACACTCAGTTATTCAGTCTAAAATCCTAGGGGTCATTCTTGATTTCTCCTTCCTTTCATGATCCAATTCCTTTGTCCAACACCAAGTCCTATTGATTCTTTCCCCAAAATATACCTCGAACCTGCCTGTTTCCCTCAAACTTCATGGATTCTTCCTTAGTCCATCGTTTTTCACCTGTTCTACAGCAACATCCTCCTAAGGGCTGTCCTTACACCCACTGTCGAATTATCCAATCCGTGATGGTTAAGGTTATATGTCAACTTGGCTACACCGTGATTGTCAGTGGTTTGGCAGATATTATGTAATCATCATCCATTTTGTGATCTGATGTGAACAGCCAATCAGCTGAAAGGGGAGTTTCCTTGGGGATGTGGTCTGCATCCAATGTATATGGATGTTCTGGCAAAGCTCTCTCTTTCTCAATCTTGCATCTAACTCATCATCCTCTGACCTCTGGTTCTTGGAACATGAGCCAGCAGCCTGCCATCTGACCTGCTGATTTTGGGCTCGTCAGCCTCCACCTGATGCCTGGCTTACGGATTTGGGACTTGTCAACTTCCCCAATTGCATGAACCATTTCCTTGAAACAAATCTCTAATAAATCTCTTTCTCCCCTCTGCCGCCCTCCTTCCCTCTCCTCTCTCTCTGTCTCTCTCTCTCTCTGTCTCTCTCTCTATATATATATACGTTTCAGTGGTTTTGCTCCTCTAGAGAACCCAGCCTAGGATGTAATCCATCCTCTATAAAGCAGCCATTGCTTAAAACCCTTTGGTGGCTTCCCAGTGCATATAGAACAAAATGCAATTCCTTACCAACATATGCAAGGCCTTATATAATCCAGCCTCTGTCTCTATCTCTGTCTCCCAGGGATTTTTCATCTTTTCTGGGTAATGGGCCGTTCGTTCGTCTTATGATGTCTATGGACCTTTTATGGGTTGAATTGTGTCCCCCTGAAATATGTGCTATAAATCCTAACCCCTACACCTGTGTTTATAATTTGGGAAAGGGTTTTCTTTTTTATGTTAATGAGGCAGTAGTAGTGTAGGGTAGGGTATGTCTTAAGCCAGTCACTTTTTGAGATATAAAAAGAGCAGATCAGGCACAGAAGAAGCAAGCGGAAATGGAGGAAGATAGATGCCATACCAAATGATGATCACCAAGGAACCAAGGAATAGAAGGTTTTCAGACACAAGGACCTTCCCTCAGAGTGGACAGAGAGAGAGCCTTCTCCTAAAGCCAGTGTCCTGAATTTAGACTTCTAGCCTCCTAAACTGTAAGAACATAAATTTCTGTTTCTTAGAGCCACCCACTTGTGGTATTTCTGTCATAGCAGCACTAGATAACTAAGACAGACCCCTTTTCGGAATAATATTTTTAAATGCACAAAATAAAATACATCATGTAATATATTTCATATATTACAATTATATTGAAATATAGTTTTTAAATTTTAAACATATATATATTGTGTGCTATGAGGGGGCAAATGCTGAGGTGCCCAGGGCTCTTCCCTGGAACACGTGTGCTGTGTGGGGCACTCGGGAGGGACCACGGCCTGCCTGGCATTCGTTTTCCTCTGTGCCATTCCTGGCTGCAGACACACGTGTTAGAAGAGAATGTGTACAGTTTTGTTATTCCATGTTTGTAAGTCAGTGGTGGTTACCCAGGAATGCTGTGAATGCCTGGGCCATAGAATTTCTGTGAGTAATCGGCTGTCTGGGATGGCCAGAGCAGGAGTTAAAATTGTGCTAAAAACCAAACCAAAACAAAAAGAAAACAGCCAAAATCTCGAGTGCATCAGACCCTTTGCTTCCTGCTCAACAAACAGCATTCCCAGGCTCTTCCCTGTTTGGTTTTGCGGGAATCTTGGATGTGTTTGCCCAGCCTTGGACACTACTGAAAGTATATATAATGCTGGACTGCACTTGGCTCTGGGAGCCCAGGGGGGTGAGATGCTGCCCCTGCACCAAGGAGCTCTGGTCTGGTGTGGAACAGCCGCTGCCTACAGGTTCTGGGGGCAAACCCTTGGAGAACCCAAAGGTGCCCAAGGGTCAGTTGGAGATTCCGAGTGGCTGGAGGGCCCTGATACCTGACTCTCGGCAGAGTCTAGGCACTTAGGGGCCATATGGCAGCACTGAAGGGAGGCTCTAGTTCCATCCAGCTGGCAAGGCTCACTCTCAGAGACTCCTTCCTGGATGGGCTTGCCCTCCTCTGGGGCAATAGGACAAATATCTGACTAGAGAAGGTGATCTGTCTCCTTACTACCTTTATAGGAAATTGGCAGAGGAGGAGGCGGTTGGAGCCACTTACTGTGAGCGCCTGGATGACCTGCTGCAGCAATCAGACTTCGTGATGTTGGCAGCCAGCCTGACCCCCCAGACCCAGAACATGATTGGGAAGAGGGAGCTGAGACTGATGAAACCTAAAGGGATTCTCATCAACGTTGGCAGAGGTAGAAACACCCCACTTGTTTGTCTTTAGGCAAAATGGAGTACTGCTCTCTTTGGTCAGAAAATCACACAGCTATACTTTTAGCACTTCCCGTCACCCTTTTTTGAATGGCATCCTGATTCAACAGATCCACCTAGACTGTGAACTAAAAAGAACTTTACTTTCTATTTAGAAATGCTCCTGATTTTTGTCTTCATGTTGTTTTGAACCTCAAATTAGTGCCAAAAATACGAGAATGCGACAACATACAGATTTTCAAACCCAAGCTTGGGTATTTATTTGGTGTGGGGACGTCAGTTTGATCCTCTGGGAGTAATTAGACAAAATGTATGGGGATGAATTTTCTGAGCCATCACTTTCCAAAACTGATGGGTGTTACTTTGATGGTTTGACATTTACCTAGTGCTTTATATGTTTAAATACAGGAAGTAGTCAGGCCTGTGCTAGAATCAAACATAATGGTGAGTTGCATATGGCATTCACTAAGAAGGGAGACAAGGTTCTTTTGACACTGGCAAGTGAAGCATGTACGAGGGTCAGTGCAGCAGAACCTACAAGCCTCATCTGTAAAATAATGTTGACCTTGCTAGTTTATTTGAGGATTCAGTGGTGAAGCATAATGTATGTGAAGGGCACCCTACCTGGTACCTGGTGGGCTCTCACTACTGGTTTATACTAATAATTCAGGCAGTTTATAGCAACAATTCAGGTAGTATGATGTTCACATGCTCTTTCTTAAACCTTTGACATACCTTAAACATGTTATTGGAAAAAATTAAGATGTATTTGAATGAGTAGCTGATGTGACTGATACTTCTCTTCTGTATATTGTCTGAACATGGTGACTACAGAGGAATATTGTTTTGTTGATTCAGGCCTATTAGTTGACCATGATGCTCTGGTGGAAGCTCTTCAGACCGGGATAATTAACGCCGCAGCGTTGGATGTGACGTACCCTGAACCCTTGCCAAGGTGACTAAACAAAACAAAATCTATAAATCCTTCTTGAAAAAAGTAGAGGCAAAGTCCTCAGATAATGGCTTCTTTTGGCTTTTGTAGCCTTACTGAGTCATAGAACTAGAGAATCTTGGAGTTAGAAGGGCCTGAAGAGTCCTCTGGTGGCACATCCCCCTCAGGGTAAGAGGGGCACCTCCTACAGACCACACCTGGCCTCTGCTTCACCCCCTTCTAGATGCTCTCCATAGACAATTCCTCCTTAGATTGAGCCAAAATAGCCCTCCTCTTCACCTGTTGATCCTGGGTTGCCTCTGGAGCATCCGAGGATAAGTTTGATCATTCTCTCTTCTAGATCTTCATGTATTTGTAAGATACCTAGTATGCTTCATCTTTGTTTTGTGAGGCTAAATATTCTCATGCCCTTCAGTTGTAGCCTAAGGATGGAGTTCCAGATAAATTACCATTATTACTGTCTTCCTCCTAGAGTTTTTAGTTGTTAAGGTCCTTTGAAAATGTGCTCTGGAGTTATGAACACAATATTTGTGTTGTGGCCTGACCATTGCAGGACAATAAAACAAAGTTTACGTTATTAGTATGTGTTTTCAAGCAGTCACATCATACCTTTATTCGTTATTCGTATGTGTTTTCTAGCAGTCATGTCATACCTTTACTCATCAAGTTTTTAGATAGTGAAAACTGAAGTTGTTATCTCCTCAACTGATTTTTTAAATATATATGTGGAATTTTACATTTATTTGTTTTTAATTTATTTGTGTGTTTTGGCCCAATGATCCAGCCTGTTGAGACTGAAGGCTTACACTTCTGTCATTCATTAAAAGAGCTCCTAACTTTAACTTTAATTGTTATCCAGTAAACAAATTACTGTCAGCTGAATGTTTTACATTAAAACCAAATTTAATGTCCAAGTTTATCAAGATTGACCACAGAACTTACAGACACTTCTGAACAAAATAATAATTTATCTGGAACAGAGGTTCTGGGGTTCTGTGAAGTCAAATCTATTTTTTTCCAAGGCTATTTTTATAATACTCTGAGATGTTATTCACCTTTCCACTCGTGTTTTCTCATGAGTGGTCAGTGGAATTTTCCAGAGGCTAATGACGTGATGATGTCGTCACTCTGATGGCTAATGTAATGTGTGCTTCTATGTTATAATATTTAATTTTGTTTCAATTTTAATATCCAATATAGTAAATGTCAATAGATATAACCCACATAAACAAAAGATTCTCTGGGGCTCTCAATTTTTAAGAGTGTAAAGAGGTTCTGTGACCAAAAGTTTGACAACCACTGATCTAGAACAAAAATTAATTTCAATATAAATTAGAAAGCATGAGCATTTTAAGCAGTTAGCTGTCAATTTACTCTAAAACCTAGAAGTCATGTGGTCATCCCTGTTGCCTATTCTGCTGAAATGAGCTTTTTATTAGATTCACTATCAAGTCACAGGACATATATCAGGACTATATCCTAATGTTTAGTTTAACTTAATAAGTGATGCACACTCAGTGTCCCATGTGAAATAATTCTTGTGGCCGAGAGATTTAACAATTATTTTATGAATAATTTAATCTTTAAATAACCATATTCACTTCTAATCTCTATCTTATCCCTATCAGATATTTTTGAGTTTTCATCTTTATTTTTTTGGAGGGAAATTCTATTGCTGCTTACCACAGTGTGTTCTACTGTGAAAAAAATAATTTAAAAAGTCGGAAATTTGAGGTTGTAAAATTCAGGTAGTTGTAGCATCAGAACCTGTCTAGCTTCAGGGGAAATAATGAGAATCACCATCAGCCCAAAGCTGATTCCTATGAGGTGGAGGTTAGACATACCTCTGCTCTCCAACCTTTTTACCAATTCTGACACCACTGTCCCTCTCACGGCACTCTCTACTTCTCTTCTGGGTTTGATAATCTGTTGCAATGTCTACACAGAACTTACAGACCATACTTAAAGTAAGTGATTTATTAAGGAAACAACAAGGTACAACTCAGGATCAAGATCAATAAGCTACAACTCAGAATCAGGATCAGGGAGTGTATAGGCAAAGTCTGAAAGGCTTCCCCGAAGAGGAGAGTACATCCACCCCTTCTTCAGTGCAGGACAGCCCTCTCAGCTCCTCTTGGCCATGCAGGCAAGCAGGCCCTTCTATCTGCCTCTTGGCCATGCAAGCCTCCTCTCAGCCCCCTGAGGACAGGTTCTTCTCGGCCTAAGGTCAAGCTCCTCTAGGCCGTCTGAGGACAGGCCTCCTCTTGGTCCCTTCCAGATGGGCCTTTCTGCCTTCAGCTTTCCTGTCATCACCACCGACTCTGCTGCAGGGCCCCTTCCAGGCCTGTTGTCGTCTTCAATATTACAGCCCTTGACCCGTGTTACAGCTCGTTTAGGAGATTCTTTGCCTCATCTCCCTCTGCTTCTTCTCTCTTCTCTCTTCCTTCTGCTTCTGTCTGCTTTCTATTTCAAAATCTTCTGTGGAGCTGGCTACATAGATACACAAACTGCTCATCAGTGTCAAGGCATGGCCCTCCCACCAGGGCCATGAACTAATCAATGCCCCCTTGGTAGACCACAGACACTTCTTTTGCATAGTACGCCACAGATACTTTATTTGCGTAGTATATTGACCAGTCCTTGCAAGGTGTATGTCAATCACAGGACAAGACAAAAAGTATCAAACCACAAGTTGTTTACAGTTTATCCAGGAAATGACAATCAACCTGGACAAAAGTAACCCTCTAGGGTAGAAAATTAGGGCAAAGGTAACTCCTTAGAGCTTAGGGGAAGAATTTCTCAAGTTGTCTTTGAAGAACCAAGGCAAAAGACCACATAAAGGAACTCATTTCACCACAGGAGTTATTTAGTCATACTACATAAGTATTGTTTGTTTTACAAAAAGATTTACTATAAGATTATAGTAAAAGGAAAAAATTCATTTACTAATGGTGTTGGAAGTCCCCAAGATTACTCTCAGGTTCAATGATTCTTTAGAAGGACTCACAGAACTCAGAAAAGCAGTTATACTCACAGTTACAGTTCATTACAGTGAAAGAATGCAGATTAAAATAAGAAATGGCAAAAAGTGCATAAGGTGGAGCTCAGGAGAAACCAAGTACAAGCTTCCAGTTGTTCTCTCCTAATGGAGTTGTGAGGATGAAGCTTATTTCTCCTAACAACAATGTGTGACAACATGTACAAAGTTTTTTTGCCAGACAGGAGAGCTCCCCTAAGCCTTGGTTACCAGGGTTTTTACTGGAGGTCAGTCAATCACTGCAGTGCAGTGAATTACTTAATATGGCCCTTCTAGGCATAATCTTTGTAACTCCCATCAAATGACTGGGTGGAACTATGCAAATGAGGTTCTTGTGGCCCCCTAAAGGGATTGGATAGCTTGCTAATAATGTAAATAAGGTGCATGGTACCCTTGTGGGAGTGGGACCATGCAAATAAGGTATATGGAAGTCTAACAAGGGAACTGGTCAGGTTTGCCATCTGGCTAGGCTTAAAATGAGTCATCACAGAGGTGGGAAGGGAGGATCTCACCACCGTCAGGAAAGAAGAGCCAGGAGTGGAGCGTGTCCATCCTTTGGACCCAGGATCCCTATGCTGAGACAGGAGACAGACAGAGCTATAACACCAGAGACGGTGAGAAGCAGCTGCAGAGAAACAGCAGCAGCAGAACCTGCAGACCAGCAGAAGACAGTGCAATGGGCTTTCTGGCCCATGAGTAAAAAAACTGAGTGCCTTTGGGCAGGAGCATTGCTAGTGGAGAAGGGTGCCCCTGGGCACTTGGTAGAGCTAGGTTTGCCAACCCACGGAGCTAAAGCTGAGCACCTTCTGGGCCAAGGCTTACTGATGGGGTGGGATGCCTTGGGGCACTTATAGGCAGAGCTAAAACAGCTTTGTAACACTTGCCCAAGCAGGGCAGAGGTTGAGGGGTCAGAGAGAGGTGTGCATGTGGGCATGGCTGAGAAGAGGCTATCCTGATCAAAGAACTGTCTCCTAAGCATTCCTAAACCTGAATTGTAACCTGTTACTCCCTCTAAAACTTGCTCTTGAACATACAGTAGCTAAAGTGAATGGAAGGAATAATGGAGTAAAAGAGCTGAACAGAAGATTTCAAAGGATGGATCGAGAAGACAAAGTAAAGTATTATAATGACACGTGCAAAGACCAGGAGTTAGAAAACCAAAAGGAAAGAACACATTCGGCATTTCTCAAGCTAATAGAACTGAAGAAAAAATTCAAGCCTTAATTTGCAATACTGAAGGATTCTATGGGGAAAATATTGAACAACACAGGAATCAGCAAAAGCAGATGGAAGGAATACACAGAGCCACTGCACCAAAAACAATTGGTTGATGTTCAACCATTTCAGGAGGTAGCATATGATCTAGAACTGATGGTATTGAAGGATGGAGTCCAAGCTGCATTGAAGGAATTGGCAAAAAACAAGACTCTAGGAATTGACAGAATACTAATTGAGATGTTTCAAGAAATGGATGCAATGCTGGAAGTGCTCACTCGTCTATGCCAAGATTTGGAAGACAGCTACCTGGCCAACTGTCTGGAAGAGGTTCATATTTGTGCCTGTGCCAAAGAAAGCTAATCCAACAGAATGCAGAAATTATCGAACAATATCATTAACATCACATGCAGGTAAAATTTTGCTGAAGATAATTCAAAAATGGTTGCAGCAGTACATCAACAGGGAACTGCCAGAAATTCAAGCCGGATTCAGAAGAGGATGTATCATTGTTGATGTCAGATAGATCTTGGTTGAAAGCAGAGAATACCAGAAAGATGTTTACCTGTGTTTTATTGACTTTGCAAAGGCATTCAACTGCATATCATAACATTGTGGGTAACACTGTGAAGAATGGGAATTCCAGAACACCTAATTGTGCTCATGAGGAACCTGTACATAGACCAAGAGGCAGTCGTTCAAACAGAACAAGGGGATGTTGTATGGTTTAAAATCAGGAAAGGTGTGCATTAGGGCTGCATCCTTTCACCATATTTATTCAATCTGTATGCTGAGCAAATACTCTGAGAAGCTGGACTACATGAAGAAGAATGTGGCATCAGGATTGGTGGAAGACTCATTAACAACCTGCTATATGCAGATAACACAACCTTGCTTGCTGAAAGTGAAGAGGACTTGAAGCATTTATTGATGAAGATCAAAGACTACAGCCTACACTATGGATTACACCTCAACATAAAACAAAAATCCTCACAACTAGACCAATAAGCAAAATCATGATAAACGGAGAAAATATTGAAGTTGTAAAGAATTTAATTTTCCGTGGATCCACAATCAATGCCCATGGAAGTAGCAGTCACGAAGTCAAACAACCCCCTGACACCCTTTTAACTCAGTACTGAAGTCACTCCCGAGGTTCACTCTTCAGCCAACCATTAGACAGGTCTACAGGACAAAAAATAACACATGTGAGGAATGTGCTTCATACTTCAATCATGTATACGAGACTAAATGGACACACCAGCCCAGAAGCAAAGATAAGAAGGCAGGAAGGGACAGGAAAACAGACCAAATGGAAATAGGGAACCTGAGGTGGAGAAGGGGGAAATGTTGACACATCGCGGGGTTGGCAGCCAATGCCAGAAAACTTGTATATTAATTGTTTAATGAGAAACTAATTTGCTCTGTAAACTTTCACCTAAAGCACAACAAAAAGAAAGAAAGAAATCAAACAATGTATTGCATTGGGCAAATCTGCTGCGAAAGACCTCTTTAAAGTGTTGAAAAGCAAAGATGTCACTTTAAGGACTGAGGTGCGCCTGACCCAAACTATGTTTTCAATCGCCATATATGCATGGGAAAGCTGGACAGTGAATAAGGAAGACCGAAGAAGAATTGATGCCTTTGAATTATGGTGTTGGCGAAGAATATTGAATATACCATAACCAGCCAGAAGAACGAACAAGTTTGTCTTGGAAGAAGTACAACCAGAGTACTCCTTGCAAGCGAGGATGGCTAGACTTCATCTCGTACTTTGGACATGTTATCGTGAGGGACCATCCCTGGAGAAAGAAATCATGCTTGGTAAGGTAGAGGGTCAGCGAAAAAGAGGAAGACCCTAGAAGAGATGGATTGACACAGTGGCTGCAACAATGGGCTCAAACACAGCAAGGATTATGAGGATGGCGCAGGACTGGTCAGTGTTTCGTTCTGTTGCAAATAGGGTAGCTATGAGTAGGAATCTACTTGATGGCACCTAACAACAACAACTTCTCTAATAAACCCCATAATCATGAGTATTGTCTGTGAGTTCTGTGTGGCCATTGCAACGAATTATCAAACTCAGCAGAGAAGGAGAGAGTGTCATGGGAGGGATGGTTGCTGTCAGAATTGTAAAAAGGTTGGAGAGTGGAGCCATGTCTGACCTCTGCCTCATAGCAGTCAGCCTTGGGCTGTTGATCTTAATTTTCCTTCCCCGTTGTGAAGTTAGAGGAGGTCAGAAGCCTCTGCCATGCCACTGCCATTTTCAGTCATGGAGGCATGGAGCACCCATATGACTGACTTAGCTACTCTCTCTTCAGCCTCCACCAGGAGTCAAACTGATTCAGCATGGCACAGAGCCCCAGGCAAACAAAAATTGGCACTCACCATAAATCACATTGTTAACATAAACTGTCTGGCATGGATCAAGGCCTTAAGCATGCAGTGACACTTATCAGGCAGGATACCCCAAGGGCTCAGAGATTATCTCCCAAGAGCCAGTCAAGGACCAGTCTTTCCTTCCGAATGTTCAGTTTGAGCACTCCAAACCCACTGCATTAACCCCTTACTGTACAGGCCACCCGCCTGGCCCTTGGCCTAGGCTTTCTTGTAGCAAAGCAATCATATTTGTTCAGAGTATGTACATTTAGTATAGCATTTGTAAAACAGATACAGCAAAAGTATCAGTATGAATATTCCTAACATTTGGAGGAGTCAGTGTGGGGTAGGGAAAATTTAAAGGAACAACTAATTTGTCCTATAAGGCCATTAAAGGCATTTCCATATTTTTGTACTTATTTGATTATTCATTTCTCCCTTGATCTACTGCTATCTGTACCTTATGATAAATGTGTACAGAACTATTTAACATAGAAATTAACTGATCGTTAGCTAAATCCAGTTCTTCCTCAGGCCAGTCATTTTCCATTGGTATTACATGCTTGGGAGGCCTTAACACCATCTCCCAATACATTTAATCATCAGTATTAATGTTATCATTTGACTCATCAGTATCAGTGTTATCATATGACTGGCTTACATAAGGTAGTCAAATCTTACCAACAATGCCAGTGTTATACCATATCATAGTATGGTCATGGCTCAATTCAGTTTCATTACAGAACAAATTAGTAAGAATTACAGAGGTATTTGCCCTTTCCCATATACTAGATATTATTGTGGAGCCCTGGTGGCATAGTAGTTAAAAGCGCTTGGCCGCTAACTAAAAGGTCAGTGGTTTGAATCTAAATCCACCAGCTGCTCCGCGGGAGGAAGATGTGGCAGTCTGCTTCCGTGAAGATTTACAGTCTAGGAAACCCTATGGGTCTCTATGAGTCAAAATCAACTGGACGACAGTGGGTTTGGTTTGGCATTATGGATAGGTATTACAACTGGCTATGATTTGGGTAGTTCTGGTTTCCAAGTTAACTGGAAACAAAGTCAGTCACCCTATCTCAGCTCACAAGCTTGTACTGAGACTGGTTTACATTATGTGCTGTTACGTAGCAAAGCCCATCTCCCTCCTATGGGGAGGACATGAGAGTATTCAGAATAGTTCCTACTCCTGCTAATTGTACATATCTTATTCTGGACTATTTTGGGGGTGAGGGCAGTCATAGCGCATCAATGTAAATTACAAGTGCCCCAGAGGACTTCCATAGGTTTGGAAGTACGTAAGATTTCCATGGGTGTGCGCCTTGATCCTCAACAGCTAGAATGGAGAGCCGTTGCCCCATGACTACTTCAGCCTTCATCTGTATTAAAAGAGTCAAGAGGCCTTGTTGGGTCAGGGTACAAGCTCTTTCCCAATGCTGGCTCCTAGCATTATGCAGCATTATTTGTTAAGTTGTCCTGACCCACTTAGTTAAAGCCTCATTATCTCTCCAGGCTGACTCTCTTGGCTTATTCCTGGAAGATAACTTCCTCTAATCTGTTTATTCCAGTTAATAAGTCTTTTTTCCTCTGAATGCTGCTCCTTATTAAAAGCTAATTCAGCTTGTCCTATGATACCTAGACCAGCACCACCTATCTCTCCTAAAGCCCTTTTCTGTCTTGTGGGCCAGTGGTTTTTAATCCACCACACATATTGCTATCGTATACTGTGGCTCGTGTGAAGTTAGGATCCATGTGTTGTACCCAAAAATGTTGGTTCCCCATACAAGGACTGGAAACCCTTGTGGCATAGTGGTTAAGAGCTACTACTGTTAACCAAAAGGTTGGCAGTTCGAATCCACCAGGTGCTCCTCGGAAACCTTACGGGGCAGTTCTACTCTGTCCTTTAAGGTTGCCATGAGTCGGAATTGACTCTACTGCAACAGATTTGGTTTTTTTTTTTAAATACTAGGATTAGATGAATGGTAGTCACATGTAGATGTTTGAGTATGCTTGAAGGCCTCTCATAGCCTTCCTTATCTCAGCACAGGGCTGTCCCCAGGGGAAAGTGAAGCCAGAATATGAGGTAAAAAGACCAAACAAGTCTAAACTGTTTTCTTCAATTAATTTGTATTTCAGAGATCATCCTTTGTTGAAGTTGAAGAATGTTACTCTGACACCTCATATTGGAAGTGCAACTCATCAGGCCAAACGACAAATGGTGGAGAATTTGGTCGAAAGCATCCTGGCTTGTCTCAATGGCCTTCCCATTCCTAATGAAGTGCTTCTTAAATGATTTATGTGGGCTAACGATTCAGTGGGATTAAAACATGGCAGATTAAATGGGAAAATATCACTATTTTATTCTGTGTCTTTATATGTGCCACTGTTGTTGTTGTTAGATGCTTTCAAGTCAATTCCAACTCATAGTGACCCCATGTGACAGAGTAGAACTGCCCCATAGGGTTTCTTAGGCAGTAATCAGATTGCCAGGTCTTTCTCCTGCTAAGCCAATGGGTCGGTTCGAACTGCTAAGTTTTCAGTTAGCAGCCGAGTGCTTAACTGCTACACCACCAGAACTCCTCTTATACATGCTACAGCTCATTATAGTTGTTGTTCTTAGCTGCTGTTGAGTCAGCTCTGACTCATTATGACCCCATGTGTAACAGAACGAAATGTTATCTGGTCCTGCACTGTCATCATGGTTGTTGGTATGTGTGAGTCCATTGCTGCAGCTAATGTATTTTGCGTGTATTTTCAGTGTTTTTCAACCTATGGAGTTCATCTTCCAGCACTATATTGGACAATATTATTATGATCCATAGGGTTTTCATTGGCTAATTTTTGGGAGTAGATCACAGGCCTTTCTTCTGTTTGTCTTAATTTGGAAGCTCAGCTGAAACCTGCCCACCATGGGTAACTCTGCTGGTATTTGAAGTACTGCTGGCATAGCTTCCAGCATCATAGCAATACGAAAGCCACCACAGTAGGACAAACTGACAGACGGGTGGTGACCATTTTATAGGCTGGTTTGATATTTTTTTGCTGCAAAGCTTTAAGAACAGTAATAATGGTTAACATATACTGAGGGCTTGCTAAGTGCTTCAAACCCGTTATTTCACTTCATCCACAAGGCAGCTTTATGAGGGAAGTTCTGTTATCATCATCCCCTATTTCACAGATAAGGAACTGAGCCCAGAGAAGATAAGTTACTACTTGTCTAAAGTCTCACTTTGCAAATAGCTGAATTTAGATTAAAACCCAGGGCTTTGTGCTCCAAGGTCTGTGGATTTCCCATTGGACTATGTTGCCTTCCATTTTATTCATTTCTGATAGCTTCTTAGATTGCATAGTATGTGAGGAACTTTTAAATTTTGAGGTGCTGGTAGGTCTAACTGGGGAGATTTCAGAACTAAAATTAAGCACTCTATTCAGAAATTAAACTGCGGGTTTTACTTTTATACTCCTAGTAATCATTAGGCTTCTGTTAAAGTTTGCTGTTTGAAAAACAAAGCTCAGTTGTGCTTGTTAAAAGTATTCCCACAACTGGCCTTAGAAAAAGCTTCATTGAGTTGTTAAAATAAATTATTAGAACCTATAGATAAACATGTTGTTTTAACTATCTTAAGAAGTTCCCCAGCAAGTGCTTAGGCATTATCTCTTTTCTCTCAGCCGAATAAGCAGAGTTTATTTACACTTTCCTAACCTATAGGGGGAAACTCTGGTGGCATAGTGGTTGAGTTCAGCTGCTAATCAAAAGGTCAGCAGTTTGAATCCACCAGGTACTCCTTGGAAACCCTATGGGGCAGTTCTATTCTGTCCTATAGGGTTGCTATGAATCGTAACGGACTTGACGGCAATGGGTTTGGTTTTTTGGTTTTGGTAACCTATAGGGTGGCTATGAGTTGGAATCGACTCGACGGCAAGGGTTAACTAATGGGAATCAACTAGACTGCAGCGGGTTTAGTTCTTTTTGGTTTAAGCAATGGTCAGTTCTGATCCCAACATTCCAATTAAGTTGGCCCAGCTGCAAATATATCACTAAACTTTCATGTCGAAATTGTTTATACTTTTCATTTTAGAAATATTGCCTTAGTTAAACTGTATTATGAGAGATTTGTGTTAGACTAGAAACTAATGTAAAGAAATCTCACCTCCTTTCCTGCCATTACTTTGATGTGAAATTGTTATCTATGTTCACTGTACTTACTAAATATCTGTTTTGCCTGTAAGGCAGAGCACACCGTTACAGCCAAACTGAACGCATGTCCTACCACAGTTCATTGCTTCAATACATTTTAGTTATTCAAATATCAAATCAGTGTTGGTCCAGGGACTTCACGAGGACAGTAGTCTCCCTGACAATCTAATCTTTATTCATTCATTTCAATCATTTCAATCATTCAGCAAATAATTGTTGAGACCCTTTTGTGTGCCAAGACCTGCTCTAAGTGCCAGAGTTACCGTAGGAAACGAAGTAAGCCACTCCAGTCCACGCTCTCAGGTGGCTTACATTCTAGTCGGAGAGACAAAAAGTATCACTGTCATCTGGTGATAACTGCAGGGGAAACAAGGGAAGAGAATTCCCAGCAGTCTGTCTGCAGGAATTGTTAGGTATGGTGATAATTAGAATACCTACTTTCCAGAGAGGTTTTGAACCTGTCACTTCTTTCTCTAGATAGACTGGTGAGGAAATATTACAGGAAAAAAATATCCTGGCATGAGAAAAGGAACTGGCAGTGGAAACAGGAAGGATAAATGCTTTGTAGAATGTGGTAGGCAAGACGGGACTGTATCCCAGGGTGTCTCATTACATGTAGCCCACCCAGTAAAGAGCGAGGCCCCACAAAGGTCTTACTTCTGGCTTTCTTCCTTTCTGACAGGAAGAATTGCAGTACACGCCTCCACATTAGTTTTATGGTTTTAAATCAACAGCATTCCCTAGCTCCGTACTTCCCACAGAAGACTGGCAGCTTGCGCACTACCCACGCGGTGAGCCGGACCCGTATGTACGGTGCGGCAGCCCCAGCGGGGTGCCTCCTTCGCCCGTCGGAGAAATACTGCCCGGCGCCCAGGCCCTCCCCGTCGGCAGTCAGAGAAACTTGGCGCCTGGCCCCGCCCACACGCCGTCCTGCCCCGCCCCTCCCCTAGCACGGCCAGGCTCTGCCCCCCGTACCGCTTCTTCGCCCCGCCCACGCGGCCACTGTGCCCGCCTCCTGACTCGCCCATGCGTCGGTCCACCCACACAACGTTTGTCCCTGTACCGCCTTGCGCTTCAGCCCCGTCCCCCGCGTCCCACCCATGCGGCTCTGCCCGCGCGCCGTCTGGCCGTGCCGAGAACCCTTGTTCCACCCACACGTCCCGCCCACCTGTAGCCCCGCCCCTAGCCCGATTGTCACTCTCTCACGTCCCGCCCACCGGAAGCCCTTCTAACCGTAGCCCCACCCCCGAGTCCTGACACGCATTTCCACCGACCGCCTGCCCTCCGACCCCCGCCCGCCTGCCATGTGGGCGCCGGTCCGCGGGCTGTGGGGCTCCCACGCGGGGCTCGGGGCGCTGCTGGGTGGCCGCGGCGCGGGGCGCAGCCTCCTTCCGGGCCGCCCCCGAGGCCTGCACGGCTCCCTGATATCCTGTGGCAGCAAGAACCTGCTCAAGAAATTCGCCACGAAAACCAAGTAATGGCCAGGGGTCTGAAATCCGGAGCGGGGGTGTTACGGGGGGGACGGTACTTACGGGGCGGGGGAGGGAAATGAGGGGGCGGTACCCACATGGTATGAGATCCAGGAGGGGTGGGGGGTGGTGTCCACTGGCTGGTGTGGTGCCCATGGGGCTTGGGATGTATTTCTATTGCTATATCACGCCATGTATTAACAGTGCCCTCTTTACTACTGGAAATAGGGTCGTTAGTGACTTTAAGACTAGCCAGACCTGAGAAGCAATTCAGAAAATTCATCCTTAACATTTTGTTCGTTTAGAACCACTCAGTACCAAATGTCTGGGTTTTCTAGAGGAGCAAAACCAGTGAAGCAGGTATAGATAATACAGAGAGAAATTTACTTCAAGGAAATGGCACATGCAGTTGTAGGGGCTGGTAAGTCCCAAGTCCGTGGGTCAGGTAGCGGGCTAAAGACCTCTGCGAGTTGGCTAACGTGGTTGCAGGAGCTAAGGAACTCAAAATCTAAGTCAGGTGGCAGGCCGGAGGCTTCTGCTGGCTCATGGTGGGGGGTGGGGGGGGTGGAGGAGGGGTTGCCGAATCCAGAATCTGCAGGTCAGGAGGCTGCAGGCCAGAGACTTCTGCAGGTTTACGTCCCAAGAACCAGAGGGCAGGCAGGAAGAGTGCAGTGTGGAGAAAGCATGAGCTTTGCCAGAGCATCTGTTTATATCCTGGGGGCAAGCCACACACCCCCAAGGAAACTCCCCTTTAAGCTGATAGGCTGATCACGTCAGATCACGTCATGGAAAGTGATTTCATAGTATCTGCCAAACCACTGAGAATCATAGCGTAGCCAGGTTGACACATAACATTAACTACCACAATTTATTTCCAGAGCAGTTTTAATTTTACTAAGGTAGGTATATGTATTTTTTGTTTTGTTGTTTTTAATAGACTTTGTACTTTTTAGAAGAGTTTTAGATTTACGGAAGAATTGCAATGATAGTACAGTGTTCCCATATACCATACACCCAATTCCTCTTATTATTAACTTCTTATATTAGTACATACATTTGTTACAATTAATGAACCAATATCCATACATTATTATTAACTAAAGTTCATAGTTTATTTAGATTTCCATAATTTTTATCTAATGTCCATTTCCTGGTTTTAGGATTCCGTTCAGGATACCATACTACTTTTAGGTGTCATGTCTTTGTAGACACTTCTTGGCTGTGAGTTTCTCAGATTTTCCTTATTTTTGATGACCTTGACAGTTTTGGAAGGTCCCCGGGTGGCACAGTCTGCAGAAGAAAGGCCTGGTGATCTACTTCCATAAAGATTACAGCTGAGAAAACTCTTTGGAGCAGTTCTTCTCTGTCACATGGGGTCACCATGAGTCAAAAGTATCTCAACTGGTGATAGGTTTTTGACAGTTAAGGAACACTGGACAAATATATTGTAGGAGCCTCTCTACTAGAATTTGTTGTTTTTCTCATGATGAGATGGGATATGGGTTTTAGGAGGAAGACCAACGAGGTAAAGTGACATTTTCAGCACATCATATTAGCCTTGGTCACATGGCTCAGGTAGGGTTTGTCAAGTTTCTCCACTGTAAAGTTATATTTCTTTCCCCGTTTCCATACTGTACTCTTTGGAAGGAAGTCACTATGCCCAGCCTACACTTAAAGAATAGGATGTAATGCTCCCCTTCCTTGAGGGTGGAATATCCACATAAATCATTTCGAATTCTTCTGCATGGGAGTTGTGTCTCTTCTCCCTCATTTATTAATTTATTCAACCATTTATATCATTGTAGACTCATGGGTTATAGTCCAATACTGCTTTATTTTGTTGCCCAAATTGTTCCAGCTTTGGCCATTGGGAGCTCTTTCATTTGGTTCCTGTTCTCCTTTGACAGAACCCCATCAATGTGTTTTTTATTTTTGTTGGTTTTATTTTCTTTAAAACAAAACTTTCTTAGCCATGTTGTTGTTGTGTGCCATCAAGTTGATTCTGACGCATAGCAACCCTATAGGACAGAGTAGAACTGCCCCCATAGGGTTTCCAAGGAGTGGCTGGTGGATTTGAACTACTGACCTTTTGCTTAGCATCCTGAGCTCTTAACCACTTCTCCACCAGGGCTCCTTCTTAGCCGTAGAATCAGCCATTTCTCCAAGAAGTCCTTTACCTCTCCTACTTGAGAGTGGTATTAGGAACCAAGCTCTCTGAGCTAGGTGTGCTCGCTGCTACTGGGATGTCTTTCTTTTAGGCCCTCTCAGCTGATAAGAGCAAAAAAATTTTAGCCACCTCCCCTTGTCTATGAACTCCTGCAACAACACAGAAACCTGGCTCCAGTCATCTACCATCCATTTGCTTAATTGTTCCATTCCAGTGTCCATATAATAGCAGTGTCAGGATTGTTAACCTGTACCTCCATGGGAAACAACTTTACAACCAGAATATACTGCTTATGTGCAGTTCATTAGGTATATTTTTAAGATCCTCTATCTCTACCTTTAGGCCTAGAAGTAGACTTTAAGTAAAAATTGCTAGGTTGGCTAAAACCGTTTTCTGCCTATGACCCATGGTGTTAGATATCTAAGTCTTTTATATCCCCAGTGACATAATTTCTATGTCCTAGTTTAGTTCCTTAGAAACAAAGTTGTTGTATTATAACATCTTCAGTTAGTTTATATAACTTTTTTTTTTTTTAATTTGCTGTCAGTGTCAAACGTAATTTTTATTTTCGCCCCATAGAAAAAAGTTTTGGTACGAAGGTCCTTCCTTGGGATCTCACCTTGTAAGTATAAAGTAGCAGTGACAAACCACTTTATAATCTTGACTGGAGTTAGGATTCAAAAGTTGGCAAAGCTTTCTCCATTTCACTATTTAGAAGAGGAAAGTATTGGTATGGATGGGATTGGTTGTCATTGGTAACATGGAATTTTGACTTCAAAAAAAGATTTACTGCACTAAAGTTTTCCAGAATATCATATCTGGTATCAAGTTCTAATACAATCACGTGCATTCAATTTTTAGTTAATAAACATAAGTAACGACTGTGAATTTTTATATAATAGGTGGCTTTTGTTAGAATTTTTGCAGTTACTAGCATTAAAATAAATATGCATGTATACTTAAAACCACTGGATTGTACCCTTTAAAAGGATGAGTTTTTTGGTATGTGAATTATATCTCAATGTAAAAAAATATATTGTGGCGTTACTTTTAATCTTTGAGGGATGCTAGATGAGATCTAGAAGGAACCTGGTCTGTAAAACAGACTTTTTCTTAATGAAAGCTAAGATGGCTGAGAGTAATTTTTGTTTGTTATATTTATCCAGTTGTTCAAGTCCTTCCTAAGCCTCCTTTTTTAAAAAATTAGTAGAGGTTTAATGTACAGTTGTCATATGACCTTTGTGTATTCTTTTTCTTAATGAAGACTTACAAACCATCCAAGCTGGAGTTACTAATGAAGAATACCTCAAAGAAAACCAAGAAGGAAGACCATGTGCGCCTAAGGGCCCTGAATGGCCTTCTCTACAAAGCGCTGACGGATTTGCTGTGCACTTCTGAAGTGAGCCAGGAGGTGTATGACCTGAACTTGGAGCTCTGCAAGGTAGGTTGAGGAGCCAAAGCCCGTGAGAGCTGTACCGGTGACGGAAGGGCTAGCACTTACCTCCCAGTTTAAAAGAAGACACCGTGTCATTCTCAAGGCCTTTAGTTTTGGGGAAAACAGTGATAGAAAGTCTGGTCATTTAAGTACTAAGGGTGGACAGAGGCTTCACGTGTTCTGGTGCCAAAGCAGACGACTCACTGCACACAGACCGGGCTGCACTGTCACACACACAGTGAGTATGACGACATGAGACATCAGAAGGCGATCTGAGAATAAGCGAAGTAGTTACGTTTGTGTGTATCTCAGTATCACATAAGGACAATAAATGACAGACCAGGCATTTTTGGTGAGCATCTTAGGGCGAATGGCTCTGAACAAAGTACCCTGGGGCTTGGAGCTGGGCTTAACGAGGCGGCTGGCAGGACCCAGAGAGGAGGGAAGACAAGGTACTGGTGTCCGTGATGATGCAGCTGCAGGAAGAGGTGGTGGTCGCTGGCTCCAGTAGTGATGGATGTTCCCGAAGCTGAGGGGCTACTCTCTGCCTCTTAGTAATTTTGTATCTGGAAAACCTGTGTGAACAAAACAGTCACCTGCTGCTGGGGTGGGTGGGACTCAGGTGTCTCTGACTTCAGACTTCTCAGCCTGCCGTGTGTATTGGAGGGCATCTCTCTCTGCTGAACAGAATGAGCACACCAACGCCATCCTACAGAAGAGCGCTGCCCATATGAGGTGAGAGCATTTTACTTCCTAAATATATTTGCTTTTGATTGTCTCTTGAGTTTCCCACCTGTGTTTCATTTGTAGGCAGTTTGTTCTTAATCTCTCATTATTTTTGCTCCTAAGGAAAAGTTTGGAAGGCTTTTCTGGAATTTCAGAGTATAATTTACATTTTCCTGTAAGCTGTAATCTAGGTCAGTGGTTCTCAGGGTGTTAGTCCTGGACCGCTAAGCTTTCCTGAGGTCCTTTTGAGGGGGTTCATGAGGTTAAAACTATTTTCACAGTAATACGAAGACTTTATTTGCTTTTTTTCACTGTGCTGACATTTGCATGGTGGGGACAATTGGGGAAAATGGCTAACGAAGACTTTTCTCGGCTGACATTTTCATCTGGGAATAATATGCCATGCAAACCTTGGTTCTTAGTGAGATCATCATGTATTTTTACTTTTAGCACTGATGCCTCACTGCACTGGGTGCCATGTTGCACCTGAGTGAGTCTGTGCTCCCTCCTCAGGCATCTTCTGATGTCCCAGCAGACCCTGCGGAATGTGCCGCCCATCGTGTTTGTTCAGGACAGAGAGAATGCGGCTCTAGCTGAGGTGAGGCTTTCAAATAATTAACCTTTTTATAATCTGAATTTTCATATGAGTAAAATAAAAAACTTAAGTTAATTTCTGAATACTCAAAAAACAATGCACATAGCTTTAAAAAAAACATTTAGGAGAGTACAGATGAAGAATGAAGCTCTTCTGTGCTCCCTGCCCCATTCCCAGTCCTGTTCTCCAGAGGTAACTGCTTTTTTTGGTTTTTATTTTTTTTTATGCATCTCACTATACTCTGACTAGGAAACACAGTCTCTATTTCTTGGCTTATAAACATGAGGTGGCTGAGGTCTCTCCTTCCAGCCTCACTCTCATCCCCTGCCTTTGGCTCTGAGCAGTATGCTGTTACTTTAGAAGGTTGAGGCTTATAAGATCTTTGGCTCTGCAGTTATAACTGTTTCCTTGCTTTAGATATAGGTTAATTATAAAAATTAAAAACCTGTAAATATATACTTTCTTGATCTGGGTGGTGGTTATGTGGTAGTTATTAAGGTATGTTACACTTTGAAAGCAAAAAAGAGGGAGACTTTCAAAGAGATGGATTGACACAGTGACTGCAGCAGTGGGCTCAAACATTGTGAGGATGGCACAGGACCAGGTAGCGTTTCATTGTGTTTTACACAAGGTTGCTATGAGTCGGAGCCTACTTGAGGGCATCTAACAACAACAACAACACTCTAGAAAGGGGGCAGTGGTAGCTCCGTGGTAGATTCTCGCCTTCCATGTGGGAGACCCAGGTTCAAGTCCTGGCCAGTGTGCAGCCACCACCTGTGTGTCAGTGGAGGCTTGTGTGTTGCTCTGATGCTGAACAGATTTCAGCATAACTTCCAGACTGAGACATACCAGGAAGAAAGGCCTGGTGATCACCTTCCAAAAATCAGCCAGTGAAAACCCTGTGGATCACAGTGGCCCAATCCCATTGTACATGCGGTCCCCATGAGTCAGAGTTGACTCAGTGGCAGCTAAAAACAACATACCTTTAAAAAGTTTACCAAAAAACAGTAAATAGCATGTACGGTATTACAGTTAGGTAACTAATATTGGCTTTAGGACTAGGTAGTATTTGGATCCGCAGAAGAAAAAAAAATCTTATTTGACATTTTTGTTTTTTATTATTCATTATACAAGTAACAATGAAAACATATAAGTAACCTTGACAGTAAGTGATTGCCCTGGCTAGGAAAAGAAACAAAAGGGTAAAGTTACAGTCTCTGTTTTAAAGAATCAAGTAGAATTTAGCTCATGGAAAAGTGCTCTGAGAATACTTAGCATGGAGCTCACCTCTGCATACTTGGTTGAGCAGGGGAGGAAACCCATTCCCCCTGGTGCTCTGGGAAATCTCTGGAGCCCCTGACCACACCTGTTCATGATTTCTCTGCTTCTCTCGGAGAGGGAGAATAATAAATGGCCAGGCACTACAAGGCTCTGCAGTAAAAGATACTAGAACAAAGGAAGGTGGGTGCAATGCTTAAAAGTTTTCTGTGTGAGGTCCTTTGTCCAGAGATTGTGCGGCTTAATATTTATGTTGGAGACTTCGGAGTCCTGGATGACAGGAGGGAGTTGTGACTGGATGTCGCCTCTTGTCTGCCTGATTTCTGCCAGGCAATCAAAGGGGCCAGTTGTTTCCCACTCTGCAATGGTTCCCCATGTGTGCCCCAAAGTTTGGCTGTCAATTGGAGGCAAAGGGAAAGAAGAGGGAAGGTGAGGTCCCTTTGGCTGGTCTTTGTCTTACTGTCCTGAAATTTGTCTCACTAATTGAAAGAAATAAGTAGTCTCGACCAGAGAGGGAAAAATCATTAATTTTGGCAGATGATTCTTTGAGGGCAAGATTGTTACTTTGTTATCCTTATATGTCTTGGTGCTGTATTGTGTACTTTTATTTCTTTTAAGCCAGTAAAAGAAATAATGGTAAGCATATGTTTAACTTTTAAGAAACTGTCAAACTGTTGTACACAGTGGTTTTACCATTTTACATTCCCATTAGTAATGTATGAGAGTTCCTGTTGCTCCATATTTTCGACAACACTTGGTATTGCAGTTCTTTTAATGTAAGCCATTCTTGTGGTTTAAATTTGCTTTTCCCTATGACTAATGATATATTTCATGTTCCTGATGGCTAGTCCCTCTTTTGTGAATTGTCTGTTCAAAACTTTTGCCCGCTTTTTATTAGATTTTATTGTAAACGTTCATTGTATATTCTGGATACAAGTTAGATATATATATTGCAAACATTTTCTCCAAATTTTTAGTTTTGGAGAAGTTCAGTTTATTCTTGTTTGGTAATATTGTCACTTCAGTCTCTGAGTCTGTTTCTGTTGACTGATTTTTCTCTTGGTCTTGCTTCTTTTCATGTTTGTACTTTTTTTATTGGATGCTGGACATTTTAAATTTATGTTGTTGCATGAGTATTTTGTGGTCTTCCTTTAGAGAGTTGATCTTTATTTTGGTAGGCCATTAAGTGCCTTGCAGAACAACCTGATCCTTTTGCGTCTTGTTCTTAAGTTTTGTTAGGATGCATCTAGAATAGCCTTTCTTCCTAGGGCTGGTTTAGCCCTCCTACTCAGGTGTTTCCCTTCTGGCTGGTTGGAGCTCGAATGTACCCCATCTTGTGAGAGCTCTTAGAACTGTTCCACTAACTTCTCCCCAGTGGTTCTTTGCCTTGTGGGTCTCACCTGCCACATACACAGTTTAATATTCAGCCAAAGACCCAGCCAGCAAATGCTGTTTAATTCAGCTGACATTCAACTGCTTTCTTCATAAATTTGGCTACATTTACAAGTTTTAAGTGCAGTTTTTAAAAGCTTCAGTTTATCATCAGAGAAAATGTGATATGCTCAAATAACAGTAAGGTGTTTGAAGGCATAGGCCGGTTGAGCTGGTCCTGTTATCTGGGAAGAGTCAGGTGGAAGGAAGATCTGCACTTGAGCCGGTCCAGAGAGGACGATGCTGGGATCAACCTGGAGTCCCGCTCTAACTGAGCCTTGTGGATAAATCTGGCTTCTGTTTCAACCTTTACTTATTCCATTTCAGGTTGATCGGTTACTGGCAATTGCTGATTTTGGACCCCCAGATGAAAAAGAAGACTTGAAACAAAATAATGTCAGGTGATTTGCCTTGTGCTTCACTCTTTTTTTCAAAATATATTTTTAATGTGTTTGTTGGTTTTATTTATACATTTTAAGATGCAACTCAAAAGAACCATATTGGAGAAGGAAAACTAGAAAATGTATTCATTTTAGTCTGTGGTATACATCAACGTCTTTATTATTACTGTTATAATAAAATGATGCATGCTTACTGAAAAATTATAAAATCTAAGACATGAGAAAAGGTACAGTCCTACCTCCAAATGTGACCATTCTTACATTTCAGTGCATTTCCTTTGGTCTTTTTATTTTTTTGGAAAGAGTTTAATTGGGTTTTTACTTAAACAACAAAGTAGTTACACTGATTGATAACAATGTTTTTCCTTATTCTTAAATATTCTTTATAAACATCTTTTTACTGGTTGTAAAATAGTGTAGCCCTACCCTAGTCTTCTGAACCATTCCTATAGTCTGATGTTTGGGTTATATCAAGGTTCTTGAATTATAAGTAGCCCCATGTTAAGCATCACTTTGTAGCAGGGCTCTGAACCGGTTCTTCCTGGTTCAGTTGTGCCCAAGAAGCAACACTGGAACAGACCCTAATTTTTAAAATTTAGTGAACCAGCACCATAACCGGAATGGGAAAAATTACAGGTTGAAGCCCTGCTAGAAACTTAATCTCCCTCTTAGAAAACAAGGGCAGAATACATGCTGCATAGCAACCAAATCTCTTGCCTGTAGGATTTTGCGCAGAATATGAACAGTGGTGCCCCGTTCAAAGATGGCAGCCAGCTGCACCACTTTGAATATGTGTCACTCTCCTCAGTCCTGGCAATAATCCAGTCTCATGCAACAGGCTCCTGAAAGGGCTCACCGTGGCTCTCCTGAGTCTTCCATTCTAGTGCTTCGCCCATGCCAGTTATGGTTCCAGATCACCCAAATTTAAAACAATTCAGGTCTGTTCTGGTTCCCCTTCCTTGGCCATGACTGAACTGGTTTGAGCCAGTTCAAAGCCCTGCTTTGAAGAGCACAGACCTAAGTAGGACTTCAAGAAGCAGGGGTACAGGTAGGTGCGCTTTCAGACCACCTGGGCTCCCTGGCTGTGCAGCTCACTAGCCAGCCTCCCTGAGTCACTGTGTAAATAATGCCAGGCTGCAACATCCACAGGTGCTCACCCTGGGGCAAGCTTTAAGGGGATGAAACAGTGAGTGTCCCATTCTCATTCATGCTGGTGGGAATGTAAAATGGTGCCGCTGCTGTGGAAAACAGCCTGCAGTTCCTCAAAAAGTAAAACAGAGTTTCTATATGACCCAGCAATTTCACTCATAGGTATATACCCAAGAGAATTGAACATATATGTCCACATATGTCCACAAAAACATATACACAAAGGTTCATAGCAGCATTATTCATAATAGTCAAAAAGTGGAAACAACCTACTTTCTCCTTTGTTCCTGTCCTCTACAGTTACCCCAGATAGACTTGTCTGGGACGTGGGTGTAGATCATCTGGATCTTTGTTCTGTGTGGTGTGTGAAGTCTCCTCTGTCCCCCACAGGAAGCCTCTAGACCAGCCACCCCTGACTTGTGCTGCAGAGCCGGCTGCACACCCACATCTGTTTGGGATTGATCATGAAGCACTCAACAAGCAAATCATGGAGTACAAGAGGAAGAAGGAGAAGGGGCTTGGAAGTGTGAGCCTCGGGCAGCCGGAACAAGCGCAGGAGCAGCTGGCTGAGCTGGTGAGGCAGATAAAGAGGAAGAAGAAGAAAGCAAAGCCCCCTGTTCATGACATCTCCCCCAAGAGCTTCCTTTTGGGTAGAGAGAGTGAGGATGGTGTGGATGATGATGAAGATCATGCGTGGCTCAAGGAGGGCACCCCAGAGTGTGGAGGACTGGAGGTGGAGACAGAAATCCGCAAGCCAGGGTCAGGGGAGTGAATCTGTGAGGTTGGCTCTGCTCTCACGTTCCCGTGTCAGCCTGATGCAGACCAGCAGCCCCTGGGGTCCGTGCACACGCTGTGTATATGACCTCAACTTCGACAACAAATAAAAAAACATGTTGGTGTTCCAGGTAGAAAGCACTGTACCATCTCTTCAAGAGAGGCCAAGCATAAGGGAGACACTTTGTAAAAGCAGTGCTCTCGGGGTGTTGTCTGCCATTCTGCTAATTAAATGTGCTGTAGGTTTTCTGTGTATTTAAATATCATGTCCTAGGGACAAAAGACTTAGAGTTACTTTTGTTTCTTCTCCAACACTCACACTTAATTGAAACAATTTTTTTTTTGAAACAGCCCTCTTTTTACAAAGATTCTCTCAAACATGTAAATCTTAAAATGACACTTGCTTGGACCCCTGCAAAGAGGGGCATGGGGCAGGGCCTAGGGTAGGTGTGGGTCTGGGTTTGGGGCCAGGCTGCCACCAGGTTGTCTATCCCAGGAGCAGGTCCCCCACCCCCAGGAGGAGCAGACACCCTCCCCACAGGTCATCCAAGGAGCAGACTCCCCTCTCCAGGCAGGTCATCTGTGAAGAGCAGACCCTCCAGCCAGTTGTCTGTCTGAGGAGCAGACTACCCCCTCCGGTCATCTGTCTGAGGAGCAGATCCCCCCCAATGCAAGTTGCCTGTCTGAGGAGCAAGACCCCCCAACACACACAGGTCATCTTGTCTGAGGAGCAGACCCCCCCACACACACACACGGGTCATCTGTCTGAGGAGCAGACCCCCTCAGTCGTCTGTCCCAGGAGCAGACCACCCCCACAGGTCGTCTGAGGAGCAGACTGAACTGCTGTACCCCTGTACCCCCCATCCAACTCATGTCAGCCTGGAATGACATCACAGATAGGGAGCACAGGCAGGTGGAAGCTCTTCACAAGTTCCACACACTTGGCAGGCCCTGTGGTGGTAGACTGACAGGGGTATGAGGCACACTGAGGCCACACCAGGCCAGGTTCCCTCACTTTGGACAGGACCTGCGGTCATCCATCCCAGAGCAGGAGGTTGCAGCAGGCTCAGGTCCTGGCTTTGGCTGTCCCTGTGACAAATTACCAACCAGCTGGTTTTGGTATCCTCATCAGTAAAATGGGAACAGCAACAGCCCTTGCCTCACAGGGGAGTTGTGAGAATAAATAATTTTTAAAACTTTTAAAAGGATCTGAGACACTGTAAGGGCTCAGTTAGTGAAGCTACTAGTATTTTATGGAGTCCCTGGGTGGTGGAAACAAGCACCTGACTACTAGACTAACAACCTTCAATACGCAAATGATACAACCTTGCTTGCTGAAAGTGAAAAGGACTTGAAATACTTACTGATGAAGATCAAAGACTACAGCTTGCAGTATGGATTGCACCTCAACAGAAAACAAATCCTCACAACTGGACCAATAAGCAACATCATGATAATCGGAGAAAAGGTTGAAGTGGTCAAGGATTTCATTTTACTTTGATTCACAACCAACACCCATGGAAGCAACAGTCAAGAAGTCAACTTCCATTGGGCATATCTCCTGCAAAAGTCTTTTAAAGTGTTAAGAGTGATGATGTCATCTTGAAGACTAAGGTGCGCCCGACACAAGCCACGGTATTTTCAATCCCTGCATATGCAGGCGAAAGCTGGACAATGAATAAGGAAGACTGAAGAATTGAAGCCTTTGAGTTATAGCGTTGGTAAAAAAATATTGAATGTACCTTGGACTGTAAAAAGAATGAACAAATCTGTCTTGGAAGAACTACAACCAGAATACTCCTTAGAAGCGAGGATGGCGAGACTTTGTCTCACATACTTTAGACATGTTATCAGGAGGGACCAGTCCCTGGAGAAGGACATCATGTTTGGTAAAGTAGAGAGTGAAAAAGGAAGACCCTCGACGAGATGCATGGACGCAGTGACTGCAATAGTGGGCTCAAACACAGCAGTATTGTGAGGATGGCCCAGGACTGGGCAGTGTTTTGTTCTGTTATGCATGGGATCCCTATGAGTCAGAACCGACTCGACAGCACCTAACAACAACTAGCTGAAAGGTTGGAGGTTTGAACCTACCCACAGAAGACAGGCCTGGCAGTCAGCTTTCAAAAGGTCACAGCCTTGAAAACCAGGTGGAGCAGTTCTACTCTGACATGCATGGGGTTGCCATGAGTCAGAATCAACGGCAACCACCACCACCAATTATTTTATAATAACAGATGAAGTGTAGCAAGTAATCCAGAAGCGTGGATATATAAGAAGAGTACACAAATCTATCCAGATTAAAATATTTTAATAAATTTTAGCATATACAAAAGTATTGTTAGGTGCTGTCAAGTCGGTTCTGACTCATCGTGACCCCATGCATAACAGAATGAAACACTGCCTGGTCCTGCGCCATTCTCACAATCGTTTCTATGCTTGAGCCCATTGTTACAGCCACTGTGTCAATCCATCTCGTTGAAGGTGTTCCTCTTTTTTGCTAACCCTCTACTTTTACCAAGTATGATGTCCTTCAGGGACTGATCCCTCCTGATAACATGTCCAAAGTATGTGAGACGTAATTTTGCCATCTTTGCTTCTAAGGAGCGTTCTGGTTGTACTTCTTCCAAGACAGATTTGTTCATTCTTTTGGCAGTCCATGGTATATTTAATATTCTTCACCAACACCGTAGTTCAAAGGCATCAATTCTTCGGTCTTCCTTATTCATTCTCCAACTTTCCCATGCATATGAGCTGATTGAAAATACCATGGGTTGGGTCAGGTGTACCGTAGTCTTCAAGGTGACATCTTTGCTTTTTAACACTTTAAAGAGGTCTTTTCAGCAGATTTGCCCAATGCAATGCGTCTTTTGATTTCTTGACGGCTGCTTCCATGGTGTTGATTGTGGATCCAAGTAAAATGAATTCCTTGACCACTTCAATCTTTTCTCCAATTGTCATGATGTTGCTTATTGATCCAGTTGTGAGGATTTTTGTTTTCTTTATGTTGAGGTGTAATCCATACTGAAGGCTGTAGTCTTTGATTCTTCATCAGTAAAAACAAAACCAAACCCACTGCTGTCGAGTCAATTTCAACTCATAGTGACCCCATAGGACAGAGTAGAACTGCCCCATACGATTTCCAAGGAGTACCTAGTGGATTCAAACTGCCAACCTTTTAGTTAGCAGCCGTAGCTCTTAACCACTGCACCACCAGGATCTTCATCAGTAAGTGCTTCAAATTCTCTTCACCTTCAGCAAGCAAGGTTGTATCATCTGTATATTGCAGGTTGTTGAGTCTTCCTCCAGTCCTCATGCCCTGTTCTTCATATAGTCCAGCTTCTTGGATTATTTGCTCAGCAAACAGATTGAATAAATTTGGTGAAAGGATACAACCCTGACACACAAATTTCCTGACTTTAATCCATGCAATATCCCCTTGTTCTGTTTGAACGACTGCCTCATGATCCATGTACAGATTCCTCATGAGCACAATTAAGTATTCTGGAATTCCCATTCTTCCCAGTGTTATCCATAATTTGTTATGATCCACACAGTTGAATGTCTTGCATAGTCAATAAAACACAGGTAAACATCTTTCTGGTATTCTCTGCTTTCAGCTGGGATCCATCTGACAGCAGTGATATCCCTTGTTCCACATCCTCTTCTGAAACTGGCTTGAATTTCTGGCAGTTCCCTGTCAATGTACTGCTGTAGCCACTTTTGAATGATCTTCAGCAGAATTTTACCTGTGTGTGATACTAATGATATTGTTGGATAATGTCTACATTCAGTTGGATCACCTTTCTTGGGAATAGGAATAATGGATCTCTTCCAGTCTGGAGAAAACATAACAAACCCCTGCATACCCATCACCCACCTTCAACAGTTGACAATTTATGGCTTGTTGTTAGGTGCTGTCATAGATTGAATTGTGTCCCCCAACAATATATGTATTGATTTAGCTACATCATGATTCCCAGTATTGTGTGATTGTCCACCATTTTGACATCTGATGTGATTTTTCTATGTGTTGTAAATCCTACCTCTGATGTTAATGAGGTGGGATAGCTGGCAGTTATGTTAATGAGGCAGGATTCAATCTACAAGATTGGATTGTGTCTTGAGCAGATCTCTTTTGAGATATAAAAAAGAAGCGAGCAGATAGACAGAGGAACCTCATACCACCAAGAAGGCAGTGCCAGGAGTAGAGTGCATCCTTTGGACCCAGTGTTCCTGTGCAGAGAAGCTCCTAGTCTGGGGGAAGATCGATGACAATGACCTTCTTCCAGAGCTGACAGAGAAAGCCTTCCTCTGGAGCTGATGCCCTGAATTTGGACTTGTAGCCTACTAGACTATGAGAGAATCAACATCTGTTTGTTAAAGCCATCTACTTGTGGAATTTCTGTTATAGCAGCACTAGATGACTAAGGTGCCATTGAGTCAGTTCCGACTCATAGCGACCTTATGTACAACAGAACAAAACGGGGCCTGTTCCTGTGCCATCCTCATAATTGTTACACTTGAGCCCATTGTTGCAGCCACTGTGTCAATCCATTTCATTGAGGGTCTTCCTCTTTTTCATTTACCCTCTACCAAGCATGATGTCCTTTTCCAGGACTTGATCCCTGTCGATAACATGTCCAAAGTATGTGAGTCGTAATCTTGGCATCCTTGCTTCTAAGGAGCATTCTGGCTGTACTTCTTACGAGACAGGTTTGTTTGTTTTTTTGGAAGTCCATGATATATTCAGTATTCTTCACCAGCACCATAGTTCAAAGCATCAGTTCTTTGATCTTCCATATTCATTGTCCAGCTTTCGCATGCATATGAGGCGATTAAAAACACCATGGCTTGGGTCAGGCACACCTTAGTCCTCAAAGTGACATCTTTGCTTTTCAACACTTTAAAGAGGTCTTGCAGCAGATTTGACCAGTGCAATGTGTCTTTTGATTTGTTGACCGCTGTTTCCATGGGTGTTGATTGTGGATCCAAGTAAAATGCAATCCTTGACAAATTCAGTCTTTTCTCCGTTTATCATGAAGTTGCTCGTTGGTCCAGTTGTGAGGATTTTTGTTTTCTTTATGTTGAGGTGTAATCCGTACTGAAGGCTGTAGCCTTTGATCTTCATCAGTAAGTGCTTCAAGTCCTCCTCACTTTCAGCAAGCAAGGTTGTGTCATCTGCATAACACAGGTTGCTAATGAGTCTTCCTCCAAACAGATGAACATACAAAAGTATGGAGAATAACATAATGAATACCTGCATACCCATCACCTACTTTCAACAGTGGACAATTTATGGCTAATCTGGTTTAATCCATAACTGCACCTTCCCTCTATTATTTTGAAAGAAGTCCC